AAAAGGTTACATTCATTGCAAAGTTCCCCCTGGGCCTGGTTGTGGGGCTGGTGCTGGTGGGCAGCATCCTGCAGGACCTGGGGGTGCTCTGGGCCCCCCCAGGCCCCCTCCCGACCCCTGGCAGAGCCATAGCCCCCCTGCACCGCCTGCCCCCTCCCACAGGTGAGCACCGGGCCAGGGGTTGACACAGGGACATGGGGAACAAGGACATATGGGGACATGGGTACACATGGGCAGAAGGACATAGGGACATGGGGACACATGGACATGGGGACACATGGACACAGGGATACATGGGAACAGGGACATGGGGACACAGGGACGCATGAGCATAGGAGTGAGGGATGGGGGGAGAGCAGCACGTGGACAGAGCGACACATGGGCACAAGGACATGAGGACACTGGGACACATAGACACATGGACACGGGGACCTCTGGGTCTGTGGGGTGACAGTGGAAGGGGGGTGGGTGACAGTCACCATCCCATGGGGCACTGGGGACAGATGGTGACGAGGGAAGGGGGGACAACATTGGAGGAGGGTGTGGCAGCTCAGAGCTGGGGACAAGGAGGGAACTGTGTGACCTGTGGCAGGGGCTGTGGGCTGGGGACAATGAGGGGACAGGGCGAGTGTAGGTGAGACATCTGAGCTGGTGACAAATTTGGGACCTTCTGGACAGTGACTGGAGCTCTGAGCTGGGGACAAGGACAGGAACCTCTGCTCTGGTGGCAGGGAAGGGACAGGGTGGCTGGTGGTCTGAGCCTGGAGCTGGTGACAGGGCCAGGCCAGTGGGGGTGGGGATGGGGAGGGCCACTTTCACTGGGTAAGGGAGCTGTGGGCTGGGGACAGTGTGGGGACAGTGTGGCTAGAGGAGGGAGCTCAGAGCCTGTGACAAGTTCGGATCCTTCTGGCCGGTGGTGGGAGCTCCGAGCTGGTGGTCATGGGACAGGGTGACAGTGTGACAGGCTGATGGGTGCTGGGAGGTCTGGGCAAGTGACAGTGTGGGACCCTGTGGCTGGTGATGGGTGGGAGGACAAGGTGGGGACAAGGAAGGGACAGTGAAGTCAGTGGTTGTTGATCTGAGGTGGGGACAGTTTTGGGACGTTCTGGACCATGGTGGTTGCCCTGAGTTGGGGACAAGAAGGGAATGATGAGGTCCTTGGCTGTTGCCCTGGACTGTGGACAAGGAGGATACAGTGAGGTCCTTGCTGGTGGCCCTGAGCTGAGGACAGTAAGGGGACAGCAAGGTCAGTGGTTGTAGGTCTGAACTGGGGACAATTTGGGGACCTTCAGGCCCATGATGGCCACCCTGAGTTGGGGACAATTTGGGGACAGTGGGGCCTGTGGCCCTCACCCCATCTGGAGCCACTGTCCCCTCTCTGGGGGTCCCTTGCCTCCAACCCACCCCCTCTCCCCCCAGTGAACAGCAGCATGGCACAGACCCTGTACGAGCGGGTGCGGGTCCTGTGCTGGGTGATGACGGGACCCCCCACCCTGGAGACCCGGGCCCGCCACGTCCGGGCCACCTGGGCCCAGCACTGCAACCTGGTCCTGTTCATGAGCTCAGCACCGACCCAGGGCTTCCCCGGGGCCGTGGGGCTGCCCGTGGGTGAGGGGCGTTCCCAGCTCTACTGGAAAACCATCCGTGCCCTCCAGTACGTGCACCAGCACCACCGGGACCAGGCCGACTGGTTCCTCAAGGCGGACGATGACACCTTTGTGGTGGTGGCCAACCTGCGCTGGCTGCTGGCCGCCCACTCGCCCCAGCGCCCCCTCTACCTGGGCAAGCGGTTCCGGCCCTTTGCCCGGCAGGGCTACATGAGCGGCGGGGCCGGCTACGTGCTCAGCAGGGAGGCCCTGCAGCGCTTCGTGGGGGCCGTGGCCTCTGGCACCTGTGACCACACCAGCGCCGTGGAGGACGTGGCCCTGGGCCAGTGCCTGGAGAAGCTGGGGGTGGAGGTGGGAGACTCGCGGGACCCCCAAGGCCGAGAGACCTTCCACCCCTTCCCACCCGAGACCCACCTCACGGCCCCGATGCACCTCGACCCCTCCTACCTGCTGTACTCCTACTACCCCGTCACACCGGTGAGTGACCCCCCCCCCCCCCCCCCCCCAGCCCCCTCACAGCCCCTCCCCTGATCCATCCAGACCCTCCCCAGACCCCTCACAGACCCTGCCGAGACCCCCCG